ACGATGGCTTGGGGTAACGATGAGTAGTACAGGCAATCTGTCTAGCTCGAAGGTTGGTTGAGATCCAATGACAAACTTAATTGACAAGGTTGAACACGAACCATAAGGGTTGTGTTCCTACACATATATATACAGTCCACCAGATCTGCTCGTTGACAAGCAGAGTCGGTCCTGGCCAATCCGGATGGATTGCGGTTCGTCAACAAGCATTGTACCATGTTTGTTGACGAGCATCATGTCATGCTCGTTGACGAGCACTCACGTGACCTTGCTCGTTGACGAGCACTCACGTGACCTTGCTCGTTGACGAGCTCCGTCACGTGTGTCAGCTTGGCTGAGAGCAATCCTCTAGGCGCCAGCCGGGCGGCCTTGCCTTGCTGCACCTTTCCCCAGGCCTCCGTGTTTGGTTGGCGGTTACTTATTGCTTGTCGTCCTATTGTGGGACGTAGGATCGTAACACACCCATTCTCAGGATCTGTTGGTAGAATAGGACAACAGATAGAAATCTTGATTATTGCTTTAGTTGCTCATCTCTATTGCCCCTTTCATTACACCGGAAGGGACACTGCTACAAGAAGGCAAGCTCTATTTCCCACAAGGAGCAAGGCTTGAGGTAATGCAGGAATGTCATGATGACCCCAGAGCGGGACATTTTGGGTTCAAAAGGACCCTGGCCTTGGTAACCTGGTGATATAGGTGGCCAGGGGTCCAGCAGTACGTCAAGGACTACGTACAATCCTGCACAGCGTGTAGGAGGGCAAAACCAACCTGTCACACTTGATACAGAGAGCTCCAGCCCCTTCCAATACCTGACAAGGTCTGGCAAGATGTCACAATGGACTTTGTGACAGAGGGTTGCAATTTGTGCCTTAAGCAAAGCTTGTAGACACTATTCAATTGGTTCTTGGGGATGAGCAGAGGTACAGAAATGTAAGAGGGGGCCAGCTGGGGATACCAACTGCTCTCTGAGATGGAAGGATTGGTGGAAGGATGGTTCAGGCTTGTTGGAGATAAGGGTGTGGAAGAGACCAAGTGTGGGGATACCACGAGTGGTAAAAAGGATAAGTAATAAAGAAGGGATCAAGTGTGGGGATACCACAAAGGATCAATGAGGAGTGAGTTGAGGAATGAATTGAAAGGTGAATTGAATTGAGTTACAAGCATGAGTTATCTGAGCAGGAGGGCAGGCTGCCTTTATAGACAGACTGCTGGTGTGAGAGGGGGCCAGCTGGGGATACCAACTGCTCTCTGAGATGGAAGGATTGGTGGAAGGAAGGTTCAGGCTTGTTGGAGATAAGGGTGTAGAGGAGACCAAGTGTGGGGATACCACAAGTGGTAAAAAGGATAAGTGATAAAGAAGGGATCAAGTGTGGGAATACCACAAAGGATCAGTGGGGAGTGAGTTGAGGAAGGAGTTGTTGAGGTGAGTTGAAGGAGTGGATTGAGTTTTGAATTGCAAGCATGAGTTATCTGAGCAGAAGGGCAGGCTGCCTTTATAGACAGGCTGCTGGCTCCTGGAATGTTCTATATACATTGGCATTTGTAATCATTTGTAATCATTTGTCAGCAACTAGAAGATTCTGTGTTGTTCTATGGGATTCCATGATGTTCCATGGGATTCCATGATGTTCCATGGGATTCCATGATGTTCCATGAGGTTCCATGAGGTTCCATGAGGTGTGACTGGGTGGATTGTTATTGGCTGCAAGCCATGTCAGGAT